TGTTATTTCAATAATTCAGTGTTACCGGAACCAAATGCAAACATACGAACTTAACATCATTGCCAAAAATCCCAACTAATTATATGAATCAATATCAGATAATTCATGCCATCAGATATTTCTTTATAAACACTAAAAAATATGGTAAAACATTTGTAAACATACCAATTCATCCTATTCTCACATAGTTGCCAATACAGCAGTTAATAATACCTTGCTTCTCCCCCAAAGTGTTGCCAGATCCCCACCGTACGCATACCCAGAGGACCATTTACCTGACGTTCACCTATAACAGAGACGGCGACAGATCTGGTACACCTGGTTGGAACTCCCAGTCGAGTCTCAGAACACCTTTAGAGAACAATTAAGGATTTTGACCCTAATTTCCTCCACTGATTTGGGTGAATTTAGTATATTTTCTCTTTGGCTTTAACACTTTTTGTTTTAATTTTAGTCCTTATTCGCACTGGTAATATGAGCTATATTGGGATAGTATTAACAGCTAAATCTATTTCTTTGAGGCTTATTAGATATACGGAATTCTGGGCGTTATTTCCTCTATTAATGTGGCCTATTTTACGTTGATAGAATTTTAAGTAGGGAAGGTCTTAGAAAACAGTGAACTTAGCCCTTGTTTTGATTTTAACGAGTACAGGTAAGAGTTCTATTTTTCCTGTCCAAGTTTTAAGCCGGAACTGAGGTGGGTTGTGGTGATGGTGGTTGTGTTGGTTCAAGTAGACCTTTATCAGAGCCACACGTATGGGAGTGACTGATTAGGCAGAGATACAGGAGATATTGTGTCGTGTGTGTGTGTGTGTGTGTGTGTGTGTAAATATAGTGCATGTTAGTAGTCGTGTTCCTAGTCTTGTTAAGTAAGGTTTGTGTTCGTGAGTGTGTGTGTGTGTGTGTGTGTGTGTGTGTGTGGTCGCGGGCCACTGTGTCGGCCTCTGTAAGCGTGTGTGTGTGTGTGTGTGTGTGTGTGTGTGTGTGTGTGTGTGTGTGTGTGTGTGTGTGTGTGTGTGTATGTGTGCGTGTGTGTGTGTGTAGTCCGAATTAAACATAACATCAATTCACATACAGACACACCAGGATGAGCATCACCTCACTGCGCCATTAACATACGAAGATCAACCACTGACATAAACACACGCTGCCACTCTCCCCCCTCACCAGCGTAAACAAGACGTAGAGAAAATAGATATTAATCAATCAACGACTAGCTCTTTCCATCCCATATCCTGACCACAAACTCAGGTAAGATTCAAAGGTAGGCATGGAGGTATAGGGGGAAGGGGTAGGGGAGGCTTTTCTTATGGATTTGAGGTTGGGGGAAGGGGTATTGGAGGACTAAGGAGGGGGGGGATGATGGGGGGTTGATGGTGGTGAGGGCAATAGGAGAGAGGTGAGGGTTAAGGGGAGGGGACAGGAGGAGGTGAGGGGTAGGGGATGGGATGAGAAGGGTTGGGTACGTGTCCCCTGGGGTTGACCTGACATGCCCACACTTCCTCGCTAGCAGTGTCTTGGTACATCATGACCAGGGAACTTATAAGGTTTGGGTTGCATGGTCAAATGGGGCCCCAGTTTTCATAGGTCCCAATACGAATACATCCAGCTAGGGCCTCAGTACGAATACGTCCAATTAGACCCCATTAAGGATACGTTCAATTAGGCTCCAAACTTAACCTCTCCTAATATAACGTAATCCACATATCCCAACTTGATCTGACCTGACCTGACATAGCACCTCAAATCCTAACTTTATTTAACCTAACCTAACCTAACCTAACCCACTATACCTTAAAACTCTAACCTAATGTAACCAAATCTAACCTAACTTAACCTGAAATCCCCCTAAGGTCTGAAACAACATAATAATGAACCTAAATGCACATGGTTAGGTAAGGGTTGGTTAGAATAGATTGACAAAGGCTAGATTCGGTTAGATTTGGTTAAGTTAGGTTAAGGTTAGGTTGGATTAGTAAAAGCAGAGTCGGTGTAGATAAAGTTCTGTTAGGGACTGACTTTGGGACTATAGGGGCTTGGGGCCGTTTGACCACCATTCAAGCTTCATTCCCAGGGCTGCTACTCAGTAATAATGAGATGTTCTGGGGGCTACTGCGAACTTAGGACTACTAAATGGTGGAGGCTCTTGAGTGATAGGGGCTACTGTTTGCTGGGGTTACTTACTGCTTGGGGCTACTAGGTGCAGGGGTTACTTACTGCTTGGGGCTACTAAGTGCTGGGGTTACTTACTGCTTGAGGCTACTAGGTGCTGGGGTTACTTACTGTTTGAGGCTACTGAGTGCTGGGGTTACTTATTGCTTGGGGCTACTTAGAGCTTGGGGCTATATAGTATTAGGAGCGACTGAATGCTGGAGCTAATGTGTGCTGGGGGCTATTGAGCGCTGGAGGTTATCGCATGCTTGGGGACACCGAGTGCTTGGGGTTACTGAGCGCTAAGGGCTACTGAGTGCTTGGGGCTACTGTGTGCTTGGGGCTACTGTTGGCTAGAGGTTGCAGAGTGCTAGGGAATCATGAGTGTCTTGTGATGTAGTACTACCGGTCGACCAGGTTGTCATTCTACCAGTCGACCATGCTGTCATTCTACCGGTCGACCAGGTTGTCATTCTACCAGTCGACCATGCTGTCATTCTACCAGTCTACCAGGCTCTAATATCAGTCTACCAGGCTCTAGTACCAGTCTACCAGGCTTTAATACTAGTCCACCAGGCTCTAATACGACCAGTCTACCAGGCTCTAATATCAGTCTACCAGGCTCTAATATCAGTCTACCAGGCTCTAGTACCAGTCTACCAGGCTCTAATACTAGTCTATCAGGCTCTAATAAGGACCAGTCTACCAGGCTCCAATACCAGTCTACCAGGCTCTAATACCAGTCTACCAGGCAACAGTACTAAGAGTGGACGAGTCAGCCGGGCAGGGAGGGAGAGCAGTGGGGGCCATTGACTTCACGTAAAATACATCCAAGACAAAAACTTGATATTATCTCTCCTCCTTACACAAGAGACTCTCTCTCTCTCTCTCTTTCTCTCCCTCTCTCTCACTAACAAAAAAAGCTGGCATCTCCTGTCGTTAGTTAATCTCTCTTTCTCTCTCATTTTCCTCCTTTGAATTAATCTATCTTAAAAAAAATACATATCATCTCGTAATCTCTCTCTCATTTCATTCTCTTTAAATATATCTCTCTATTTCTCATGCAGAAGCTCGCTCTATACGTAAAAGAAAAAACACAAAAGCAATGAAGAGAGAACAGGAAGGAGATATATCTACAACCTATCGATTTAGGGAGGGACCACAATGCACGTTCTCTTAAGCCTTTCCCTCCTTTACTGACTATCTTCAGAAACAACAAATGCATCCTACCTCTCTACCCCTCCTACCCCTTCATCCCTCCCTCCCTCCTACCACCTGGAAACATATTTACACGAGAAGCAACCCTAGTGTAACGTAATCGCTAGACGAGAACCACCCTTGTGTAACGAAATCAGAGGGGTGAAAATAGCGACGTCACTTTCAGTTTCGTTAAGCCTGTGTTTTGTTGAGTACGTCGGTGCTCGAATGCTGTACCGTTCAGTTGCCAATTGGGGATTTAAATATCTTTTATTTTCTTTTTTTACATGTAATATATCTTTTATTTTATACGAATTATCCTTATTTTTTTCTTATATTTTTTATTAGATTTTTTGAGGATTAGTTTATAGGGGTAGTTTTTTTTTATTGTTTTATTTTATTACAATAGTGAGATATGTTAGACGAAAATACAGGGGGATAGAGTCGAGCATGCAGTCAGCCATCCCGACGAGTGAACCATAGGGGGTTGGTATTGGTATGAGCGTTCGAAAAATACCCACAACACCGAACACTTACCATAAACAAACCAAATCGAACACAAACACAACAATCACTTGCAATAGTATTCGATCAAGATTATAATACAGTATATTAAAAAAAAGGGTATATTGACGAGGATTGAAACAGGGAGAAGGTATGTGTACGATAGTCAATGAAATGCCATGAAATATTTTGAAACAGTGAAAAATGCCAAAATACACCCCTGCACGTACCATACTTAAGCAAACGTTAATAGGTGAGGCGATTAATAGCCTAACTAAGACAGGCTTTATGGACGAAACAGACCTTGGCATCAGCTGGGGATATCACTCGTACTTACCGTGTGGGTTATGACCAGCTCTGACCAGAAACATGTTCTAAGCTATTTGGTGGATTGCCGTGAGAGAGAGAGAAAATAAATGAGGGAACTGTGAGGAACCATGATTCGCATTTTTTTTTCTTGACGAAACAATTTTTTTCACGTCCTTGCTAATGAAGGAATAATGAACAAACAAACAATTTGATTTTGCATTAACAGTTCATGTTTAATTTCATCATGAAATGAAAAAGAAAAAAAGAAACATTCATTATCTTTTCTTTGTAATGATTACCAGAAGAAATGCCGTAATGAAATGTTAACACAGAAACACTGATAACAACATATGCATTTATATACATTGAAAAAAATTACCATGTCAAGGTACACAATGTAATTAGATTAATATATTTATACCCACGATAGTAATTACTACTTTCTAATGCCTTACAACACTCAGGTTCCTTTGTAATTATATATCTGTAAACAACACAACATAAAGGAGAACCTATTTTAAGAGGCAGGTGTGCAGGACGCCCCGGAGTTAGTGGACTACAGCTTAAAAAAACAATATAAAGCTTATATTAATGGTCTAAGGTCAGGAGATGTATGGTTACTGAAGATAGAATAAGCAATTGAAATGATAGCGAGAGGTGTAAGAAGCATAGAGAAAGAAATGATAAGTGGGAGATAAGGAGAGACAATAGAAAAGATAGAATGACGTAAGAGGTGATAACAGTGAGGGAAATGAATAACAGTTCTTGGAAGACAATAAAGAAAGAAGCAGGAAGGACCATGATTGATGAAACTGCACCAGTGAAACAAATTGTACCTGTCTTTATAACGATGGGTGCCTTGAGTAGCTGTGTGGTGGTGTTGTGGGCGTGCATGAGGCCGGGTGAGGGCGAGGGCAGAGGGGAGATGAGGGTGGGCGTGGAGGCCGGGCTGAGGCTACTGGTAGAGTCCTGGGCGTAGGGCTGCGCCGTGTCTGAGAAAGATGTGTACTTGGACTCCTCGGTGGTGAAGGGCGAGTACTCAGCCGACGGAGAGAAGAGGGAGTCGGGAGCCACTGAATCGAATGTCCGCTCATCGAACTCCTCCTTCTTGATGACTACGGGAGATGGAGACGTCGAGGCGTCAAAGAACGAGAGGTTAAAGTCTGTGTTGGTGTCGAAAGTGACCTCAGGATTCGTGACCTTAACCTCGGCAACGCCTGAACCTAAATTCCCCAGACTCTGGTCGATCTTGAAGACATCCATGTTGACGGAGCCGAAGTTTGCCCTCGGGTCTTTCAGTGTGTTTTTCACCTTTCCTTTCCTGGTTGTACTTCGTCAGCGTCTCCTTCAGCGTCTGAGTATAGTATATGACCTCCTGATGGTGGGGAGTGTGAATGCCCCCGCAGTAAAATTATCACCTTGTGTTTTGTGTCATGCCTGAGTCCTGGGTCGTCGGAGAGCCAACACTGGTCACACCACCTTCAGCGTCGTCCTCAGGTAGCCGGACAACATGGGCCACAGCAGTGTCTGTCTACCAAGCCCTAGCCACTGGACGTATCCATCTTTATCCACTGCACAACGACTAAACAAATAGTCTTTACTAGACAGAACCGAGAGAATTGTATCTTTTTTTTAACAAGCTTAGAGACACAAACACGTCATGGGTTTCTTTTTGTTGGTCCTGCTACAGCGCCTGCTCAGTATTCCGCGCGGCAGGTCGTCAAGAGAATGCCCAGCCGGGTGTTGGGGGGGCAGCAGCGGCAGCGTGAGCAGAGACGCGTCTTGCCACAAAGTTCACCACAGCGGCGACGACAACACACACACCGTCGGACGTTCGTGCTCGTCCACACTACACTACCGACTGACGATCCGCATCGTCGAGACACACCTGAAGTTTTTACCAAGTCCCGTTGGCTGGGGGGGCGGTAGTAGAGGAGGAGGAGGGGCGGCGGGAAGGAGGCAGATTCACCCCCCTACCCTCCTCCTCCCTCCCTCCCACTTTTACCTCCACCTCCCTAGTTCTTGGGTCAATGAACGGGACGAGGGGGGACTAACTCACGGAGATCTCTCACCTCGGGGCACCTCACCTGTTACTTCCTTGTCTCAGGTGTCGTTTATTAATTGATAGATATTTTAGATTTAATCTCTGGACAATGTTTAAATACATCTTAAAAATCGGGAAGGTACCCATCGCCTCCTTCCCTCCCGCCCCCGCCCCCCACCCCCTCCCAGCACCTCACACCCGTTCGCTGAGGGAGAGAGGGGGGAGACGGGCACTAGATAGGAGGGGGGTGGGGAGGAGGAGGAAGAGGAGGAGAAGGGAGGGGAAGAGGGGGGTCCACACCTGAGCCAACATCTCAGCCAATCACGACACACTTCTCAAGTGACGTCACGCCTGTCGCACTACTACCGTAATTCATAAGTGAAAACACTTACAACGCTCAATTGGGTCACAGGAACACTTAGACGACGGTTCCTTCATTGCTTGCTGCTGAAGGAGGAAAGACCGCCGCCGTGTCACCTCCACCGTTACCTGTGCCACGAGTTAGGAGGTACACAGTTCCTCAAGGAGTTACAACACTTTCGGTTTCTTTCCATTTATACATTTAACCAAAAATTGCCGGAAGATATTTTTGTCCGACACATTAAACTATGGGAGAGTTGTCCGTTAGGTCCTAGATAAGAATATAACTGTATATCGCTTGTGTCTGAACTGAATGACTGACCATGTGCTTGTAACCATGGCTCCAGTTAGCGAGCGCTGGAGGCCAAAGGGAACCAGTTACTGGGTGCTAATAGCCACAGGGAACCAGTTACTGGGTGCTAGCAGCCATAGGGAACCAGTTACTGAGTGCTAGTAGACAGAGACCAGTCAATCGATGCTTGTGGCCAAAGGTATTTAGTCACAGTGTGCTTCTGACCATACGACCAGTACTGTAAGTATGTGCTTTAAGTCACAATACCAGCTAATGAGTTCTTGTAGCCACGAAACCAGTCCTTATGTGCTTGTAACCATGATCCAGTTACTGTGTGCTGTAGCCATTGCAAGTATTGGTAATGTGTGCTGTGTGTGTGGGGCGACAAAGAGCCAGTCACTGTACGCTTGTAGATACGGAGAACGAGTTACAATATGCTTGTAGATTTAACTAACTACTGACTGTGTGTTCGTAGACATAATTAACAAAATATTGTGCCAACCGCAAGACAACCTTCTGAATATTGCCATTTCACGAGTATTTTTGAGCCGAGCGGGGCCTAACTTAACCTAACCTAACCTAACCTAACCTAACCTAACCTCACCTCACCTCACCAAACCCTCAGTAATATTATAAACAACGTGCCCACCCACAATGTTTGTTTCCTTATTGTCAGTTTATATTTCTGTCAAAAAATTATCAAAGCGTTCAGCGACAACACCCAACATCAAACACCTTCAGTCTTTCTCAAGCTAAAGGAGAAAAGTCTCAGCTAAAAATATTATAGCGTTTCATTTATCCGATCTCTCTCCCTGGGCGGCTGATGTATATATGTAGTGTAGCTTTAGTGGAAAAAAAAATATATACAAAAAAAGTAAAAATTATGTATAAAATAAGATGTAATTTTTTTTTCATTCTACATTTTATACAAGATGTTGATAATTTGTTTTCATTTACTTATATTAAATAAAGAATAATTTGAAATATATTTATAACGATGCAATGTCTCCGTAAAATAAATCTGCAATCTGTACGTAAGATAATTAAGCAATATTTTCATTTGATACTTTTGCAATATGTTCATCAAATTGTTCTACCACATAAACGTGCACGATGTTCATAATGCAATTTTTCAACACTGTTCCTAGGATCCATTGAACAAAAAAATCGTAAGTTAATTTTGTGATATGTTCTTAAGAATACTTCTACAATAAGATCGTATGTTAATTTTGTTACAAGTCACTTTATGCAACAAGACCTTATCTAAATGCATATAATAATAATAATAATAATAATAATAATAATAATAATAATAATAATAATATCTGAATCCATTTAAACTAGAGAAGGCGTTTTCCAAGACTACGAGTGGAATTCAAAACAACTTCTATATATTGTAGAATCCAATGGCACAAACCCATATCATGAGTGGATGCCTAATTATCAGTGTAAAGTATAGTATTTGTTGAATCCAAACTTTCTGTAGCAGCGTCAGTATGGGTAGTATTCAAAGTAAAGGCTATATTTTAATGGAATTCTGTTGCTACACAGTCTGCTTCAGATGTTTGAAACTGTCTCAGTACCAACCAGAACCTGAAACCGATACGATTGTACCTTGTAACGGAAGTGGAATCCAAAATAAGGGTCATATTGCTGGGAAAAACCAAATTAATAACTGAATTATCAGAGGAATCCAAACTAATTCATATTATCGGTGAAATCCCCAAAAAATATCTCATAGAACTTGTGGAATTCAATACCACTGCTGTACTATTACTGTACTCTAATCCAGCTTACATTATCAGTGGAATCCAAAGTGACATACTAATATTTTCGGTACAAAGACTAGTCGGTTAACAGAATTCTATGGTTAAGAGAGCCAGGTAACGGTAGTTAGTAATTCGGTGAACAGGTCTCCAGTTGAATAATTCGTGGCAGTTAAACGGATAATTATCAACCGAAGTAAATTTAACTGTTTTTAATGGATAAGTAGAACCGGTTAATAGGTACTAATTCACCAGTTAAATAATGGAACTGGATAATTATCAGTAGCTAACCGGATGTGTGAGTGACGTACAAAGTCTGTTAACTGAATATATTTCGCACATAAAAATCGTTTAACAGGACTTCATGGTTACACATCCGGATAATTAGTCACTTACACAATGTTATTAATGCATATGGCCCAAATAGCCGCAATTTTCCACGATATTAGGATCACTGTCATAAAGGAAACATGAATATAATGTTAGGTAGTGATCCATTGTTTTAAATTCATTTATGTCTAGGGTTGTTGACCTTCCACTTGACATAGAGGAGTTTCCCCTTTGCCCATCGGCGTATTTCCGTTTTCTTCTAAGTTTCCGTTTCTTGTTTCCATTTTCTTTCGAGTTTCTTCCTTTTTTTAGTCTCCTATTTGCATCATTCTCCATATTTCTAGTCTTTATATTATAATTCATACTTCGTTTTCTTCACTTTGCTCTATTCTCCATTCATCATTTCTTTAAGACTTACCCTTTGGTCCCGAGTTGCCATTTTCTTCAAGTTCTTATTTACTTCAGTTTCCACTTCCTTCATTCTGCATTATCTTCATTTTCTTCAAAGTATTATTGTTATTTATTATCTAAACAGTAACCATGGTGACAAAAGGTGACTGGGGTAATCGCTATAACGCGGTTAACGTCCTAAGCAGTTCATCATGTATAGGTGGGTGGAGGGTGGGTGGAGGGGTGGGTTGGGTGGGTGGGTGGGTAAGACATCATTGCAGGGAATCACAGTAACGGGACTGACAAAGCTGAAAAGAGAAGCGAGCTGTTCATCATAGAGAGGTCGGTAGTGGTTGCGGGTACTAATACAACAGGGGTTAAGTACACTTCCTCAATTATGTATTTACCGGGTCAAGGGTCAATCTACATAACAATACGTGAATTATCCACCGACCCGTTGATTTCCTGGTTAATACGAGAATCCGCCCGTGGAAAAAAACATCCGTGTCGTGTGGGGGTATTTTTAAAAGCGGATATCGTTTCTTCCGCATGTTGGATATTTCGGTTCTTCCCCATGATGGATATTTCGGTTCGTCCTCATGATGGATATTTCGGTTCTTCCCCGTGATGATATTTCGTTTTTTCTGCATGATGGATATTCCGGCGAACGGGAGTCTTTAGTAATCCATCCTTAGACTCCTAGACTCTCCTACTTGGTGTACTTCCATCCCAAAAGGCTCTAAACTTGTTGCAATCATATTAAAATAGTGTGTGTGTGTGTGTGTGTGTGTGTGTTTGTTTGTGTGTGTGTGTGTGTGTGTGTTATTGTTTTAGTGAATATTTAGGTAACCTGTAACAAGATGCTAATCACACACACACACACACACGCACGCACGCACACACACACACACACACAACACACACCATTGCAATATCTGTAAGTGCCGTGACAGAGCAATATAGAGAAGTTTAATATGTTTCATGCTATAAATAACTGTAGAATCATACTCTTGTGAGACGATTGAGCCAAAGTGACTCAATGGAGATTAAATAAGATAGTAGAATAGAATGTGAGAAATGATAATAATGCAGGAGAGGAAGAGGTAATATAAAGTAAATTAAAATGGCATAGTATAGTCACCAAACCTAACCTAACCTCACTTAGCTTCACCTAACCTAGCCTAGCCTCACCTAACCTAACCTAGCTTCACCTAACCTCACCTAGCCTCACCTAACCTAACCTAGCCTCACCTAACCTAACCTAGCCTCACCTAACCTAACCTCACCTAGCCTCACCCAACTCAACCCAGCCTCACCTAACCCAACTCCAGCCTCACCTAACCTCACCTAGCCTCACCTAATCTAACCTAGCCTCACCAACCCAACCTAGCCTCACCTGAACCCAACCTAGCTTCACCTAACCTCACCTAGCCTCACCTAACCTAGCCTAGCCTCACCTAACCTAACCTAGCCTCACCTAACCCAATCCTAGCCTCACTTAACCCAACTCAGCCTCACCCAACCCAACCCAGCTTCACCTAACCCAACCTAGCCTCACCTAACCCAACCTAGTTTCACCTAACCTCACCTAGCCTCACCTAACTCACCTAGCCTCACCCAACTCAACCTAGCCTCACCTAACCTAACCTAACCTCAATTTAGCCCAACCTAAACTA